AATTGGCATCTGGGAAGCTTAGCAAGGAGGCCGAGAGTTAGCTAACTCCTGTGAATTGGGCTCCTCCTGTGAGTAGAGAGCCGTGGCACCGCTGAATGAAAACAAGCTTTTTTTTTTGTAAAGGATTTTCTCGATAAATAACCAGAGCAATAGACTTGAGAATATTTTTCATTATATTTATGAATTTATAGCTGATAATTTCGGGCAAATTATAAAATTTGGTTCCACCCCCACAATATGCTATGGTGCTAAAATCTGGAATAATAAATATGTAATGATACTGTGTTCTGATTTGTTGTTAATAGTTTCACATCTGTGCAGGAAACCTCCTCCCCTCCCCCCAGCTCTATTTAGCCTTTTTTTTTGCTACATAGAATGCTACAGCACTAATACAATGTTAAACTTTATTATTTTTTTAAAAAAATCCTTTGTCTTCCACTGCAATTATTTGATTTACCCTACCCCACCTCTTTTTGATGGGTGTCTCTCCTGTTTGTCTAGGACAGTAGTTCTCAACCTTCCTAATGCCGAGACCCTTTAATACAGTTCCTCATGTTGTGGTGACCCCCAACCATAAAATTATTTTCGTTGCTACTTCATAACTAATTTTGCTGCTGTTATGAATCATAATGTAAATATCTGATATGCAGGATGTATTTTCATTGTTACAAATTGAACATAATTAAAGCATAGTGATTCATCACAAAAACAATATGTAATTATATATGTGTTTTCCAATGGTCTTAGGCGACCCCTGTGAAAGGGTCGTTCGACCCCCAAAGGGGTCGCGACCCACAGGTTGAGAACCACTTGTCTAGGAGGTTCTTAATATGTATTCTCTGAAAAACAAGATCCCTTATGTGGTAGATAGAAACAAGCATAGTATGTATGATTGATCACAGTAGAGCACAGTGGAATAGAAATGTTTTTCCATTTTAATATTGACATTAAGTATTAGGGACCTAACATTGACATGGCACTTCACCGCTTATCTAATCTTTATAGGAACAAGTAAGTAGTATTCCCATTTTAGTGTATGTAGCACTCATCCCTCTCCCCCTATGGATTTCAAATAACTTAAAATCTTTAACTCCCTTATTTCCTAATATGCTCAAATTTCACCATGTTTGAAAGTGGGGTTAATGTAAAAGTAGTAGCCATACTATAGGTTGAGGAAGGGAAATATATTTGAAGAAGATCCACAAGAAGAGTATGCTTAAACCTTTTTTAAAAATTTTTTTTGGTTTAAACACAAAATATATAATCCTGATAGTTTTTTTCTAATTTTGAATATAGTTTCTGTGAATGTCTTATTATGCTTGCTGATGTGAAAATTTTGTGCAAGTAAGCACATAGTGGGAAATAGTTCAGTAATAAGTGTTTTCCATTAAATCGTGTTGCAAAGTGCAAAATTAAAAATAAATCTAAATTATAGGATTAGGGTAAAAGATGTTTTAGGTTCTTTGGGGGTCGCCTAAGACCATCGGAAAACAAATAATTACATATTGTTTTTGTGGTTAATCACTATGCTTTAATTATGTTCAGTTTGTAACAATGAAATTGGGGGTCACCACAACATGAGGAACTGCATTAAAGGGTCGCGGCATTAGGAAGGTTGAGAACCACTGTTTTAGGAGGTTGACTGTGTTTGGTTTTTAAAGGCATTTATCCTTGGGCTGAGTCCTTCAGCACTTTCTCTGCTATATTTAAAGATATCTTTGAAGCATTGAATTGTGAAGAAATTCCGTTTGCTTTACAAGGCACCAGAAAGTAGCCCTAAGCATAATTATTAATGTTTGTTAGTGAGATATTTTGATATTTAAAATGTGTAAAATATGAAATGCTTAGCTTTTATGGCTTGCTACTTCTCAGGTTTTTCAAGACTGCCTCCCCTACCCTCCCCAATTGGTTTGAAAACAAGATCATGCCAGAAATTGTAGTCCTGGCTGGTGTGACTCCGTTGGTTGGAGTGTTGCCCAGTGTACTGAAGGGTCACGGGTTCAATTCCAGTCAGGGCACACCTAGGGTTCAAGTTTGATCACTGGTCAGGGCCCATACTAGAGTCAGCTGATTGCTCTCTTTTTTTCTGTCTCTCTCTTTCTCCTCCCCCCCTCCCTTTCCCTGTTCCTCTCTACCCCTCTCATTCTCCCTTCCTCTCTCTAGAAAATAAAAAACAACCAATAAAAAATGAATATAGGTTTTAATCTATAAACAATGGATGAGTTTCAAGTCTGAAAATCCCTTACCTTATGCAGGATATGAATGAGTCATGATTGTCATGCTCCCCTCCCTCCTCCACAGATAATTTCTCAGGGGTTCTGTGGCCTCCCCACCCCTGTGTTCAAAGTTAGTGTCAGAAGATCCTTCATGTGGTTATTTCTCTTAATTATCATGAGTTAAAGGGAATTTAGGCTCAGGAATTGATACATTTAGGTGCCCACTCTGTTTTGTGGGAAATCTAGAATTTCCACTTAAATGTCATTGTGATGAAATAGTTAATGCCATCACCATAATGTCAGTTCTGAAGTGAAAGAAAGAATGTAAGACTTCCTAAGAGTCAATGCTTGACTGGGCAGTTAACTCTAGAATTGTTATCATTACAAGATGTTGTAGTTGTTGATACTCTAAGATAGTGGCCTTTGCTTATGGTTTAGTGTTCTCACCTAAGTGGAAAGGGTCTCATTGGTCCTCTTAAATCTGTGGACTACTTTAGTGCCACAGTCGGTTACTGGATTGCAGCAGCTTTATGTGAGTTGTAAATTTATACTCTGTCCTTAAGAATGCCACTGTGTGGAGGCCATTATGGTAAAGTTTGCTTTTGAAAAGAGGGAAAAGAGAATAGCAATGCATGACCCTTTGTTTAGAAAATTATAACTTAATTGGAGGGGGCACTTTCATAAGGTCGGAACTCCTAATATATGAAACACAGAAGAACCTGTTATGCATTGGTTGTGCTTGGATAAGAAAGTGAATGGTGGTGGTAGATTTTGCTTATGTAGTGGATATTTTTTTCTATTTAAGGACTTTAAAAAAACAGCACCAATTCCAGTTCACACTTCAAAAATTAATAAATCTTTAACATAATCAAATACCAGTCAGAGATCATCCATTTAAAAATATATATATTTTATTGATTTTTTTACAGAGAGGGGAGGGGAGAGGGATAGAGAGTTCGAAACATCAGTGAGAGAAACATCGATCAGCTGCCTCCTGCACACCCACTACTGGGGATGTGCCCACAACCAAGGTACATGTGCCCACAAAGGTACAGGCCCTTGACCGGAATCAAACCTGGGACCCTTCAGTCCGCAGGCCGACGCTCTATCCACTGAGCCAAACCTGTTGTGGCTTTTTTTTTTCTTTTCTTTAGGTTCTTTGTATAGCTAGTTGCACTACTATGGTTGTTTTCCCCCTATGAGCCATTCTCTTGCTGCTCTGAGTAGGCTGCATGGGAAGGGAAGATCTAGGACCAGATTTGTAGGTATGAGATGCAGTTTAATTTTTGGATTTCCCTTGGTTGATCAATTCTGAGAGGATTCCAGTGCCTTTTATCATTTTTGGATACCCTAAATTCTTAGTGTTTTTGTCCTTAGAATCCTTTGGTTAGTCAGATAACTTACTCTAAACTGTTCCAGGGTGCAGACTTTCCAGTCATTGTAACACCATTCTATGCCTTGTCTTTCATATCAAAACTGAAATCCCACCTTCATTTAACTGTTTCCAATTTTGTATCAAGAATGTTCATTTGCTTAACTATAGGACTTTTTATACTCTTTCCACCAATATCTAGAGGTAGACATGGGTTGGTAGAAAACAGTGGAAAAGGTAGAGGGAGGAATAAATGTGAAAATTTTTAATTTGTGTATTTTCCCCTTTATTTATGGTTCAGGAAAGGGAATTTATGTGAAGCAGCTATAAAGCATTGCATTTTCTTTAATTTTCATCTGCTAAGGAATCTGTTTCTCCTTTTTCTTTCCTATTTTAACTTCCCCGTGGGAGGTTTGGTTAATTGTATCAATCAGGCCTTCTTTTTGTTTCTTCTGCCTTGTGAAAACTCCTTAGAGGTGTAGCATACTAAGTGTTATAACAGAAGGAAGCCTTCACTAAACCCTCCCGCCCCACTAGTTTAGGTCAGGGTTTCTCTGCTTCAGCACTATTGGTATTTTGGACTAGATAATTGCTTGCTGGGAGGAGCTGTCCTGTGCAGCAGCCCTGAGCGGAAGCCAGAATTGTCTCCAGACATTATCAAATGTCACTTGGAGGACAAAATTGACCTTGGTTGAGAATCACTGACTTAGCTCTCCTGTTAAACAGTCTTAAAGCACTCTGTACTTTCCCTTCTAGTGATTACTACAATTTTAAGTGATTACCTTTCCCCCAGAGTGTTTTTAGTGTTTTTGTCCTTAGAATCCTTTGGTAAGTTCCCTGAGGACAGTGACCATATATTGTCATTGCTTCATATCCTTCATACATAGCCATGTCTTAATACATTGTGTACACGAAATACAGATTTCTTGAATGAATGGATGGATGACATACTAGGCAGATGATTGACTCTGGACCAAGGTAGTTAACACTTCTGGATATTTTGTTTTTTCCTCTGTAAATAAATTACCAATTTCAGATTGTATTTAGACTTCCTGTTGGAAGATTCTTAGACTAAATATAAAATGAACTTTTTGAAGGGCTTAGTATGTATAAGCATTATTTGGAAGGTCATTTTATGGTATTGTAGGACTATAGGAGATTAGATGGACATTTTTAAATCAGAACTTTGATGTGTTTATGATTTTCACTTCTTACTAAGGGGGAGAGTCAGGAGGGGACTTGGCTTAGAACTAGTGATTATATTACTACTCGTACACAGAACTTCAGATATCTCTTTCTAGGGCCAGTTTTGCTGGTGTTGGACAACTACTAATTCATAGTGATATGAGAGAATGTAATGAACCTTGACCTTGAACACTGGCTGAGTTCCTAAGCTCTTAAGTGAGCTCAATTTATTCTGGTTTTGTTTTCTCAACATATTTCTCTACTCCTCTCTCTCAGGATTGTGCCTCTACTCCTGCTTGTACAGACTGCTTTTCCAGCAGCATGGACACAAGAAGCATAGTAAGATGATTATAACCCACGTAAGGCAGGCCCTTTGGAAAATATTAGGTTTAGATTGATACTGAAATGATGTCTTGATTATATGGGCAGTACTTGGGAAGCAGAATAAAGCTGGTCACTTAGAATATATTAGTAATCTTAAAAGAGAACATGCAGGAAATAAGTTTAATTTCTTCACACACAAAAATAGGTTAAGTGAAATAGAAGTTATTTTCTTAATAGTGAGTATAAATTATATATACTCTGGTTGCATTTATTTGCCTTCTGCTTCACAAAATTTTACTGTATGTTTTGTAAAAAAAATCATTGCCTACTTAATATGACTAAAATGCAATTTGATGGTTGGAAATAAAATGCATCTTATATTTTGAGGAAGTTCTTCAAACTATAAGATGACAAATCATTGACAGATATGCTGTAGGAATAGAGAAACAAAAATGATAATCAAATTTTTGATTTTTTAATTACAGAAGAGCAGATTTTGGTAGAGGTACTATTTATGAGAAATAAATGTTGATGAGAAATGTTTCTATAGCCTGTGATTTCTTATCTGAGTTAATACTATCTCAAGTTTGATTGTAAACATGATACATTTGCTTTCCTGATTTTGATTTTATGCATTTATTTTGTCTTTCTAATTCTGCTTTACAAGAGTTTCTGATAAGACCATATTTTAAACTCAGGGAAGGGTATGTAAATGTGTTATGGTATCTACTATAGGTCAAGATATAGCTTACAAACTTTGACATCTATTTAGTTAGAATGGGGAATATTGATTATTCATTGTTTTTGACTTACTTATTTTTTATTCATGTTTTTAAAAATAATGTGGCTATTAAGTTAATATATGCCAAGTTTTTAAAATAATTCTGCAGCTTAATATAGGTTGACTTGAAATACCTGGGATTTAATTTTTTCGTTCATTTGTTCATTCATTTAACCAATATTTAATGGATGTTTACTATGTACCAGACACTTTTCTATCTGCTGGGATAGTGATAAACAAGATAAGCGAAAGCTTACCCTCTTGGAGCTTATGTTCTTGTAATTCCTTGAGTGCAGTGGTCTTGCTGCAGAGCTAGTGAGGCTGGTAGGCATTACTGACTCCAGTTGATTCTTTTCTAGGGATTGCTTTGTCTGGAACATCTCTCCAGGCGCAGATCTGCCTGGTCTGTTCTCAGCATTTTGCCTGACAGAGTCCACATTGCTCATCTATTCAAAATAGAGATTGAGCAAGTAGACTTACTTAAAAAAGAATATGGTATGTTTTCAACAATGGCCTAACACAGGGGTGGGCAACCTTTTTGTGAGTGTGTGCCAAAACCAGCAAAATCTCTGACTCAAAATTCTTCTGCGTGCCAACCCTAATTTTTTGAGAACATGTTACGCCTACTTGATATCTCTTAAGGTGTATGTATATGAAGAACCTTGAAGAAATAATAAAATTCATTCGAGCGACAAAAACACAGTATATGATGATGAAAAATACATTTATTTTTTAATGTATACATGTACACTGATAGTCCGACAGAAAACTTTATGACTCCGTTTGATATTATCAGTGGGACTTTTGCTGCTGCATCACTGATGACAGAGATTTTACATCAGGTTTATATTTCGTGACCTTCAGAGATATGCACGAGCTACTACTTTCATCCGTCAGGCTACTCCTATTACGAGACTTAATAAAATTCATCACTGAGAACAAAGATTCACAAGCGTATGTGGATGAAACCAAAACACTGGTCGGATCTAGGAAGGCAGGGAGAGTTAAGGCAGAGGCATAGAAATTGCTCTTCCCCTCTCTCGTCAATCCATGTCTATGGTCTTTAAGATAACTTGTTATGTAAAATTATTTATTTATCTAAGATGCACCTACACTGAATTTATCTGAAAAATAAAAAAGTCGATATTAAGAAAAAAATTTGCAAATGGAGATTATAAGAGAGGGTTTCGCGTGCCAGCAAAAGTTACTGGCGTGCCATGTTTGGCACGCGTGCCAGGGGTTGCCCACCCCTGGCCTAACATGTATTTAAAAATACATTTGGTATTTTGGAATAACTCTTTCTTACAAAATACAGCCAATAAGGATGTTTTCTTTTGTCCGTGAGATAGTAGTGTCCACATGTAAATGATTTAAAAATACTTTAAGTGGTGACCAAACCTTTATGAATTTAGAAAAATAAATTAATATTTTTATAACAAACTTTCCCTTGACTTAAGTATATGAAAAAATTTGGCCCCCCCCCACCCCCCCCACACACACACAAACATTTTTTTGAATTTGAATTTGGTTTGATTCCTCAGGGCTTATTTTAATAGCACATAAGTAAAGGAAGAAACAGTTTGGATCATGTATTTACTCTGTAGAACTTGGGAAATGATATGAAGATCTTTTTGTACTGGGTCACAGTATGTAAAAGGTTGACCAGTACAGTATACCTGAAACTAACACGATGTTATATGTCAATTATGTCTTAATTTTTTAAAAAAAGTTGACCAATGCCCTAACTGGTTTGGCTCAGTGGATAGAGCGCCGGCCTGCAGACTCAAGGGTCCCAGGTTTGATTCCGGTCAGGGGCATGTGCCTTGGTTGCGGGCACATCCCCAGTGGGGAGTGTGCGGGAGGCAGCTGATCGGTGTTTCTCTCTCATTGATGTTTCTGACTCTCTATCCCTCTCCCTTCC